ACTAAATTACAAAAGCATTAGCTACTAAAGTAATTAGATTTAAACTCTAGATAAATGAAATCAGAAAAGCTTCCTACCCTCTCTCATAATAGAATCATGTTGAACATTGTGTGAAGACTCAAATGGGCACATAATAGATCCAAGCCTGGGCATATGCAAGATGATCCTCTGTAGTAGTCAGCATCAAGATAATACCTCTGTGGTTACCAAGTATTCCATCTTAAGGAAAAAGAGTACTTAAGAATATTAGCATAAGTTTATGTGCCCTGTTCATTAAATCAACAATTTATAACAAAGCTAGGAGGTATTTCACTATTAGCAGAATAGCTTTAAGCTAATCCAACTTCACAGTTTTCTTCTGTTTTTTCATTTATGACTTACTATCTTACAGACATTCTACCTGCATTGCCTAGGTACCACGTCCTTAAACAATGGCTTTCAAAGTTTTACCACAACCCATAAGAAAAAATGCATTTTAAATCACAACCAAGTACACATAAACATATTTTTAAAAAGAAACAAAAGTTTCCCAAATCAATACTTCCTTTTACCTTATGCAATGTATTGATATATTCTCTTTTTAATGCTTTTTTAAATAACCACACTGATTTCATTACTTTATGACAGTGCCACCTGCTATTTAGAAAACACAGCCCTAAAACTTTACACAGAATGTGCTAACCTCCTCTCCTACCACCTTCCACCATGGCTCCAACATAAGAAAATAGGTGAAGTTTAGCAAGTCTATTCCAAAGTATATACCTTGGACTTAAATGTGCGACATCCCAGGTCCCTCTGAAATCCCTGAAGCACTGTGACTACTGCTACTGGCAGATAGGATGCAAGTGCTAAACGTTTCTCCAGGCAGAGTACTGAAGCAGACTGCCGTATCACTGACAGTAAATTCTGCACTTGACAACATGTCTCAGGTTACCACTGCTCCACAAGCCAACTCTTCAAGAAAAAATAGGATTCTAATACAACAGGATTCTAATACCATCTCCTTACATTTTTACATTGCTTTTCATATACACCATTCCATTTGATCCTCCCTGACAGTCTAGTGAGTTAAGTAGAGAGGCTGCTCTTCTTCCTTTCGCTAATGAGAGAACTGGAGCTCAGAGGGGTTATGTGGCTTTGCCAGAAACAAGAGGGCTAATGAAGAACACAATCCAGTCTTGAACCCAAGACTTACCAGTCTATCCACTCTCTTGCTACAATTGTCATTTTTAATATATGATACAAATATGAACTTAAAAGGCATATTAAGTTTCTAGATACGAAAGTGAAGATGAAAGCATGACACCAGTGGGCATCATAAAATTAAGATTAAAAATAGCTAGGCGGAGGCTGGGCACAGTGGCTCATGCCTGTCTGTAATCCTAGCACTTTGGGAGGCCAAGGCTGGAGGATCGCTTGAGGCCAGGAATTCAGATCAGCCTGAGCAACATAGTAAGACACTGTCTCTAACAAAAATAGAAAAATTAGCTGGGTGCAGTGGCACGCACCTGTAGTCCCAGCTACTTGGGAGATGAAGCGGGAGGACCCTGTCTCAAAAAATATTAAAATAAATAAATAACAATGGGGCCAGGCACAGTGGCTCACACCTGTAATCCTAGCACTTTGGGAGGCCAAGGTAGGAGGACTGCTTAAGGTCAGGAGTTTGAGACTAACCTGAGCAAGAGCAAGACCCCATCTCTACCAAAAAAAAGAAAAATTAGGCCGGGCGCGGTGACTCACACCTGTAATCCTAGCACTCTGGGAGGCCAAGGTGGGCGGATTGTTTGAGCTCAGGAGTTCGAAACCAGCTTGAGCAAGAGCGAGACCCTGTCTCTACTAAAAATAGAAAGAAATTAATTGGACAACTAAAAATACATAGAAAAAATTAGCCGGGCATGGTGGCGCATGCCTGTAGTCCCAGCTACTAGGGAGGCTGAGGCAGGAGGATCACTGGAGCCCAGGAGTTTGAGGTTGCAGTGAGCTATGATGATGCCACTGGACTCTAGGTGGAGTGACAGAGTGAGACTCTGTCTCAAAAAAAAAAAAGACATGTTAACATTAATAACTTTGGTAGCCTCTAAAATTTCTGGGAGTCCTAGTTCAATCCAATATGGATTTGATCTTGTACTCTGTCTTAAATCAATGTTTCACTGATTATGAAATTACATGTATAAATTCGCCACAGAAAATTACGGAAGTGGGTGGTCTGCAATAAACAACTAGCCACTAAATTTCACAAACTTCCCCCAAACCATCCTTAGTCTTGTGGCTTCACACTAAATTATGAAGTTCCCTATGTGAAACTCAATTTTATTTCAACACTAAGTAAATTACAACAGCATAAGCAGGTCGTTTCTGCATAATACTTGCAACGTACATTCAATTTCCAGAGCATTTCTGAACACCGTCTAAAATCCATAAGCTGAAAGCAGAACACAAGACAGAATGTTGTTTCTTTTAAACAAAAAAGATTCATCTACCTATATCAGAGGAATATCAAATAACATAATTAGAAATTATCAAAGATTTGCAGAATCAAGCTGGAGAAGCTACTTGAAGTCAAAGACTATAGGCCTTTAATATATAGATGAGGAAACTGAAGCCCAGAGAAGTTAAGTGACATTCCCAACAGCAATTAACGACACAGATAGAATCAGAATCTATCTGCCAATTCACAACTTCCCATTACTCTACACTATCTCTGCATTTAATAAAATGTGCTCTTAAAGAAAGTCACTAACATCTAAAAACCTTAATTGCATTAAGACTCAAAAACTAGGGAACAAGATAGTGTTCACTGACAGTCTTTAGAAGACGGAATCTCTTAAAAGAATCTCAAAAGTTCCAAACGAGCAATGAAAACCGGCTCTTTAATCCAATGCAAAATAACAAGGAGTTTTTAATAACTAACGCTGATATCAACTACCATTAACTGTTTTTTTTCCTAAATCGATACTATCCATTTACTCAAAAAATATGACAGCATATAATATGCTGAGAACTGTACTGGGGACATCACGGAACACACGGACATGGCCTCTGGCTCTTGTAGTGGACAGCTGGGTGCGCCTCTCTAAAAATACTACTTTATGATTGGACAGGATATTTACCAAACTCTTTCACTACCTTACATAACTATAACAATACTTTCTTCCAAATTTAGAACAACACTCACCATACATGAAACATGAATACTTCCTCTGGTAACTCAGCATTCTACTTACCACTTGTTAATCAGAACTACAGCAGATTTTTAAACTGACTTTACCACTCCTTCTGGCCTGAGGCAAATTTCAAGAACTTTTCACAATCCACAGTAAATCTTCCTGGTTCACAACCCTGATCTCAAATGACTTAACACACCCATCCTACCCTCCACTTCACTAGAAACCTGAGTCATATAGTTTAGGAGCAACCACGATATTGGGATGTTGGGAAGCATTTTTAGTGGATCCCTCTGGGAGCCAGAAGCAGCCTCTCCTTCTATGCTTCTTGCCTCTGGATTCCTCAATATATCTCTGGATGCCGTATATCTCCGGTTAAGCAGCATCTAATTTTACCAAGTGTGTTCCTAATGACTCGTGCACAAATAACTTTAACTAGGTAACCACTGACTGAAGAAGCTGGCCTGAGCTGAAAATCTAAGATTCTCCTATGTCTTGCCATTAACTACAAGTGGGACTGCAGCACTGGTCACTTGCACTGCTCTGGGTCACCTGAAAGGTAAGGGAGGTAATCAGAGGCCTTCACAGACAGCCAATTTAAATTCTAGAACTCTCCAAATTTAGTTTAATATCACATACCATACTGGGTTTACTCAAAACGGTATCATTCTGTAAACTCTTCTACCCACCAAGTCATAGGCCCTAGAAGGGAAGACGTTCTTCATGCCATCAATGTCTTTTGCCCTACTGAGACAGCCCTGAATCTGAAAGGCGAAGGTCTGTGTCACCTCTCCATGGACAAAGCACAAACACTTTACATCTCCTGTAATTCAACCCAGGCCTCTGACGGCATTATAGCTCACATTATGAGAAACTAAGCTGATCCTCAACTAGAAGAGTATGTGTACCGTTTTTTGTGTGTGTGCGATGGTTGGGAAAAAACATATTATCAGCTAACAAAGTGGATGTCAAGATACTAAAACAGTAAGAATCCAGGCCTGGGTCTGGAGAAGACATCTGAAAATCAATAAATACCTAATAGTAGCCCATGCGCAAACTCACACAAGTGAGATTATCAGACTCCAGAGGAGTGCCTATTAAAGTGGCCATAAAATCTACTGCATAATTTTGAGATAAGTTTTCTAGCCCAAAGTACAACCAACAATATCAAATCATGCGTCCAGAGATGCAATACATCAAGCAAAATTTCTATCCGAGAAATAACAGTGTAATCTTTTGCGGAGCTGTTTGACCAGTGACCAGTGTTCCCAGAGCTCCCTCAACCGCCCCCAAACCATCCTTCCCACCCGAGTAATACCAGGTCAGAAGGATGCCCTGCTGCACAGTCAGGCGGCCACTCCTCCTTCCCACAAGGCCCGGGCCCGCACCACTCGCCCCAGGACTCCCATGGCCCCCGACCTCCGGCCTCTTGCCACCATAGCCCCCCACAGACCCGATCGGGGGCAAAGGACGCACACCCACCTCCCGGGGGTCCATAGACATTTCCCCCGAGGCTCCTGGCGTGGTGCCCCACACCCTTAGCCCCGCCGCCTGTCCCCGCCAGGTCGGGGAAGGCCGCCGGCGCCCGGGACCCCGCCTCCCCCGCGCCCAGGGTCCGGGCCGAGCCCAGCGTCTGTGCTCCCACTCCCTGCGCCTCCCTCTGGCGGCGGCGCGGCCACCCGGGACACCCCTACCCGGGCCCTGCATGCAGTCCCCAACCCCCCGCGGGCCGCCGCCGCCTCAGAGGGTGACAGCCGCCGCGCCGGGGTTGAGGCCGGCCCCTCCTCCAGCCCCTCCTCACACTCCGAGGAGACGGGGCGGGGGTGGGCTTCTTACCGAGCGGCAGGACATGGCGAGGCCCGTCACGGCACGGCCTCCTCCGCCACCCCACGAGGCTCCCAGCCAGGGCCGGCGGGGGGCAGTGCCTGGGCCACTGGACCGTGTTGTCCGGCTGCTTCGCCGCCGCTGCCGCCTTCTCACAACCACAACAACATGGCGGCAGCAGCCACACAGAGCGCGCTCCCGACGCCGAGCCGGGCCGCGAGCGGGGACGCGCGCGCACGCTCGGGCGCTCAGCCGGCGGGTCGGTGAAAGGGGGCGGGCCGCTGCGAGTTAGGCAGGGGCGGGGCCTGGGCCGCTGGTCACGCCCCAGGAGGTGGGCGGGGCTGCAGACCAGGCGAATTCTCGAGGCGCGGGAGAGGCCCGCGGAGTACCCCACGGCCGAAGAAGAGGACTAGATGGGAGATGGGCGGAGGAAAAGCGGTGACAAAAAATCAAGAAGAAAAAAACCAAAAGTAGTCCTACAGATTTTTAGGAGGCATCTTTTTCAAGCTCTGTAACCCCGGGCAAGACATGGCTCACTTTATTTACCAGGAAAAACAGAATGATAGCGGTATCTTTCACTTGCAATTGTGGTCAGAATAAAACTAATTTAATATAGGGTATGTAAATATAATATGCTAGAGATCATTCTCAGAATACAATTTCAAACTGATTCAACCTCAGCTCCTAATCAAAAGTTCAGCTGGAGGAAGTGAGTTTTCAAACAAAAAACAACCCTAAAATTGTAACCTACCCACACTAGCCTGTAGAAGAATTCCACAAACCAGGACTGCATTACCTTAGGCCCTAACAGATTCACCTCCTCTGTGTTCCATTTTAACATTATACCCTTGACTTTTCTGGAAAATGGCAGAGAGAACCAGTCAAATGAAATCTATCCCTGCATTTGTTGTAAAGTTTTCTCCGCAGCACTTTCTGAAATTATTTATTCATTTGTTCAATGTTTATTGTCTTTCTACCCCGCTAGAATGTAAAGCTATTTGAAGATAAGGATTTTGTTTGTCTTGTTCATCACTATTTCCTCAGCACCTGGAACTGTGCAAGACTAAAAGTAGGCAGTCAAATTTCTTGATTAACTGACTAATAGCTAACATTTATTTAGACAACTCATCTAATTGAATCTTCACAACTTTAATAGGTAGATGTATGTTACAGATGAAGAAAGTGAAGACTAGAATAAACTGTACATATTAAAACAAAATTCAAACCCAAACCCACTGACAAAAAGAACAAAATTGTGCTCTCACCCACTAGGTATACTGCCCAATGCATAGCACAGTTGCATGAAACATAGTAAAATCTCAAGTAAGAAATTAGAGTGCAAAATTAAGAAAACCTTTGCTTTACTCACCGAGAAATTGGTAGGCTTCCTCCTTTCTGATAACTATTGTTATGACGCTGATCGTGTCTTTCTTTTCACCTTCGCTTATAGAAAACCCAGAGCTAAATTTGAAACTCAACAGTGGCCTCTTGTTCGCCTTGCAGGTCTGTGCCTTGTACCTCAACTTGGCACCTTTATATGTTGCTGTCCTGATTTTTCCTTTCTGTTATATGATTGTAGCCTTTATGAAATTGGAGAATAGTAAATATATAGAATAGATGAATAACTTAAACCAAAAAAAGTGAAAAAAAAATTTTAAAGGTTTTCCAATTTGTTTTTTCCGTTGTCTAATAAACTAAGGTTCCTACCAGCCACCAGTCCCCTCTGTGCAAAAATTCCCTTACCTAGCCCTCTTATCAGGGAAAGACCGAAGGATGGCCTTCCACAGGCGAGTGGCCTCTGATTGGACTGAAGCTAGTACCTGAATCCAGTACAGCCCCATCCATAAACTAGCCAGCTCCCAATGAGATAGCACAGGGCAAAAAGTTCAGCCAATAGGCAGTCAGTATCTACTCAGCCAATCCCACAGCTCCCCAGGAATCCATATGGACAGAGATGAGGGGTTGGCTATCACTTTGACTTCTTTTTAGACGTAATATCACAGTGTTTGCCTTTTAATCTGGGTGAAGTGATCTTCAATTAAATCCTCAACCAGTGTTTAGGATGTGGAAGGAATTTCTCTGTGCCCTAGAAATCACACTATTTGCCCCTCCTTGCTCTCCTAATAGCTGAAATGGATGGATTGAAGGAAGCTTTTTTGTTGTTTTGTACAGAGATGGAGTCTACGTTGCCAAGGCTGGAGTGCAGTGGCTATTCACAGGCCTATAGCCAAGAACTACTGGACTTAATTGATCCTCCTGCCTCTGCCTCCCAAGTAGCTGGGACTACAGGCATGGGCCAATGCACCTGGCAGGATTGAACCTTTTGATTGTACTCAGCATTATGTGAGCACTTTTTGTGTATATCTAATATAATCTTCACAACAACCCTATGAGCAGGTATTGTTACTCTCTTGCATTTGAACCCTGCCGATTTGACTCCAAGTTTGTGCTAGTGAATTTCATACTACACCTCATCTCCACTGCTGCCCACCTGCTTACCTTTAAGGCAGACTTTAGTAACTTATTTCTAAGTTAGAAAGAGAAAAACCGGTGCATAGTCTTGAAAACTTGCCTCAAGGAAAAGGGCTTAAGGAGACATAATGGAAAGCAAGCTGGTCTGAGTCTAAAGACTTAAATCTGAATCTTGGTGCTTCCATATACTTGCTTCTCATTTCCCTTTTAGATGCCTCAATTTCCTCATCACCCTGCAGGGTCGTAATCACCACCCTGCTTACCTCACAGAGGTGTATAATGGCTCTTTTAGGTAATGGATTTGAAAACATGGTGTATCCCATGAAAAGCCCAATGGACAGGATGCTTATGTGCTTTGGCTGAAGACAAAGCCCTAACTTTGTCCAGTGAGTCGAGGAAAGAGAAGGGAAACCAACCCAGGCTCAACGACGGCTTCTTTTCACTGCCCTATTTCTCATGTGAGGGGCCACCTTTCTACCGGCCTAGCCTTCCTTTCTTTCTCCTGCTGTCCTTTCAGCCTGACTCCCCCTGCTATCTATAAAGCTGAAAATATTCTTCCAGCTGCTCAGGGACCCTTTGAAGTAGCCTAAGACAGACAGAAAAGCTGATTGATAGAGAGTGGAGAATTCCCAAAGTCATGCAGGGCCCCTGGAAGGCAAAAATCTCCCAGCCCCCCAAATGCAGACTTCTCAAAACGAGGTCCTGCTGCTTACTTATATAATAAATCATTTATATCAGTGAGAGCTTTGCATGGATTAGCCCCAAACTCTCACAGTGCTTCAGCATCTCCTTCAAATCCCAGTGCAGCTAGCAGACAGGGCTAACTGTGGCTTGCAGACTTTGAAAAACAATTTACCCAAGGTCAGACAGAAACTAGAATTGAATCCTGTTTCTGTGATTCAAAATCTCCCAGAATTTTCCAGACACCACACTGTGTCCCTATTGCTGGGGTGGGTCATTTCAACTCAAATTCAGAACAAAGTAGTAGTTCTCAAAGCATGGGCCACAGGTCCCTGGGGGACCCTGAGACTCTTTCAGGAATCTATTGGGGTCAAAACTATTTTCATAATAATACTAAGAAATGATTTGCCTTTTTTGCCAGGCACAGTGGCTCACATCTATAATCCTAACATTTTGGGAGGCCAAAGCGGGAGGATCACTTGAGACCAGGAGTTCAAGACTAGCCTGAGCAACATAGCAAGACTCTGTCTTTACAAAAACATAAAAAATTAGCCAGGCATGGTGGAGCGTGCTTGTAGTCCCAGCTACTCAGGAGGCTGAGGCAGGAGGATCACTTGAGCTCAGGAGTTTGAGGTTCCAGTGAGCTATGATGACACCACAGCACTCTAGCTCAGGCAACAGAGCAAAAACTTGTCTGAAAGAAAAAAAAAACCATGAAATTATTTGCCTTTTTTACTGTGTCGACATCTGTGCTAATAGTGCAAAAGCAATGGTGGTGGTAAAATTACCTGCGCTTTGTCACAAATTAAGGCAGTGGTATAATATGTACTAGTAGCCTTTGTAGTCTTTACCAGCATACACTGGTAGTAAACAAAATGCCAGTTTCACTTAAGAATGTATTTCATGAAGCAGTAAAAAAATTTATTTTATTAAGTCCAGACATTTGAATACAAGTCTTTTTACTATTCTGTGAGATAGTCAATCAATTTTCAACAAAGATGCCAAGAACACACTAGAGAAAGAACAGTCTCTTCGGTAAATAGTGACTCTCATAGTGACTAAGCTAATAACAAACAATATATTGTATACTTGATATTGCTAAGAGAGTAGATTTTAAGTGTTCTCACCATGAAATATGATAAATATTGGAGGTAATGCATATGTTAAACGGTTTAATTTAGCTATTCCACAATGTATATATATATCAATACATCATGTTGTACACCATAAATACATGCAATTTTTACTTGTCAACTAAAAAATGAAAAGAAAAAAGAAAACAATATTACCAAATCATCATATGAAAAGACATTCAAAGAGAACATCCATAATATTGTAGGGAAAAAGTGTTATAGAAATGTGTCAAGCAGTGAATTAAAAAATAGTATGCTGGCCAGGTGCAGTGGCTCACGCCTGTAATCCTAGCTCTCTGGGAGGCCGAGGCGGGCGGATTGTTTGGGCTCAGGAGTTCGAAACCAGCCTGAGCAAGAGCGAGACCCCGTCTCTACTAAAATTAGAAAGTAATTAATTGGACAACTAAAAATA